GAACCGATCGAGCCTCGCATATGCGTTGACAATGACGCCCAGCGTCTCGGGTGGGAGCTCGGGCAGCCTCTCAAGCAGCCGCTCGGCCATCCAGTCGAGGAAGGCCTCCTGCCGGATGCCCGCCTTGCCAACCGCATAGGTCACCATCACGTAGGCCAGAGGATGGTCGCTCGCCTCAGTATCTCCATAACCACCGGCAGCCCCCTGCATTGTGAGGCTCTCCTGCGCCCGCTCCATTGCCGCCACCCAGAAGCGTTGCTTGCCATAGCCCACCCTCGCAAAAGCGTGCATGAGGTTGGACAGCGGCCAGGCACCGAACTCCTCCAGCCGTGAGAGGGCCTCATCGGCAATGTCGTCGAACAGCACCTGGTCGCGGAAGTTGAGCTTTGCGTATCCGTTGGCCACGGACGATACGTGCCTTGGCTCGAAGTAGGGCAGCTTGTGGGGGATCTCCTCCGCCATGCGCCTGAAGAGCCGCTTGACGAGGGGAGAGGTCGAGGGGCGGGGGGGCGGCCCCTGACCCAAGTAGACCCCAGAGCTCTCCTCCGCTACCAGAGGAGAAAGGTCGTCATCACCTTTTCCCTTCTGGTGCTGCATGCCGCCCTGCCGGCCAGTAGGTGCTTCGTCACTCGACGCAGGTAGCAGCAGCAGCTTGCCATAAGCGTTGCAGGTGAGTGAGAGGTCCTGCGGCACGAAGTCAGGGAGGTGCGGAGGGATGTGCCGCGCGAAGGTCTCCAGCAGCCCATCGTGCCGTTGGTCCGCCCTGGCCAGCGAGTTGAGCACCAGAGCAAACTGCCTGGGCATCATGCCAGGCGCCAGCAGCACCGCCCTGTCGGCGTATCGGTGGACCAGCTCGGGCATCTTGTTGGCATAGCCGAAGTAGTGGAGGCGGTTGAAGAGCATGGCGAGCTTCCGGGCCTTGCACGACTCGGGCGTGAAGAGCTCGCCCTCCATGAGCGTCTCGACGCTGCCCATCCTCTGCGGACAGACACATGTCAGTCAGACCACTCATCCGTTGATTGACATCATAACTGGAAGAGGTCACTGCCACTTGCCTGGTCGTGCAGAATGGGGTTCTTGATCTTCCGCTCGATGTCCAGCGGCTTGGTCCGTGGCGGCTCCCACCTTTTCGGCCGCTTCCTCCGTGCCGGATGCCTGCAGCCGTCAACAAACACAGCAGACCACATGAACGGAAGCCACGACGAGAGAGATCAGGCGTGTGTGTGGATCTCACTTGTATCTCCGCTGCAGATGGATGAATCCATGGGGAGCCTCTGCTGCAGTGGGTTTGTGCAGCAGAGCCAGCCCAACTGGTCTGTGCATACTGCCTCACGTACAACTTGAGTCGACTAAATGGACGCGTGAAAGGTCACAAAAGCCCGTGAGAAGCGGAGATCTTTCCTTTTCACCATTTGCGCGCTCAGCTTACAGACCGCGCGAGGGGTATCTTCCTACCTGAGCTGTTTAGCTGCCTGTGGTGATCACTTGTACGCGGAGTCATCGCTCATGGACCAGCAGCTGATGGAGATTCGCAAGCGCAAAAATGAGGAGTACCTGAAGCGCAAGGAGGAGGGCGAGAAGGAGGCCAAGGCCGCCAAGACCACAACAGGCGCCGCCCATCCAGCGTGAGCGCATCGGCATCTGCTGCAGCGGCCGCAGCGCCGGCAGGTCCCTCCCAGCCCACCGCCATGGACCTGGATGCCTTCATGACGGACGAGGAGCGTCGCCGCAAGCGCCAGGAGGATGCCGACCATGCCCTGGCGATGCAGCTGATGAGGGAGATCAACGCTGGGGC